AGAATAATTGAGGAGTAATATGGCTGTCTTTAGCACAGTTAAACAAACGAGCACAGTAAAACAATCATTGGTACAATTGGTTATAGTAATAATTGTTTTCATTAAATTAATCGCGTTCTCTTGATAAAAGTAGGTCACTACACATGAATGAATTCATCATGAATTGACTTTAATTGATTTATTATTCGAAACTAGAAAGCATTGAATAGTTGCTACTTGATCGATATGATTTGATCTACACTAAGAAGAATCTGACATAAATGACATTGATCACTACTCAGTGATCTATCGATTTTAAATCCAGTTCAGTCTTACAGGAGGACAGTCGTGGCCTGGATAGCTTGTAGTGGCATTGGGCCATAACCACACAATCCTCAATCCTGAACACGAGACAACTCGGAAAATAGATATTCAATGTTTAACGCGGAGAAATACCTAACTATGGAAAAGGCGGGAACAGTTAACTGGATGAATTGGAGTTGATCGGATGGCATGGCTCGGCCATGCAGGCGTGGTCCCTCTGTATGTTACCTTGTATCTTCTATTCATATTAAATATATTGTTCTTTCTCTAGCTCAACCTTGTTCTACATCATGTATTTGTAATCGATACGATACAGTGAGTTGGTGTAGTCGATGGTGTGACTTCCACGTAAGATCTTATAGATTAGGAAATTATATCATGACAAATCTACAATTTTAGGATTAGGTCTATTGTTAGAGCAGTACTAATATCACAGTAGACCATAATTCTACAAGCTCAGTGGTAGCGTCTCTGACTGCGGAGCTGGGTGACATGGGATTGAATCAGTCAGGGAGAATCAGTTCCCTTAAGATTTCAGTTACAATTTGCTGACTGGTGCCAAATAGCACAAAACTTGGGTTTAGGTTTTTCTGTTGATTACCTACAACCAACATTTTATCTCAGCATGGTACACGCAATGTTGAATCACCTAGACCAGTGGCCACATTGCAATTTGGTCGATAGTATTCGATCTGTACTAAGAAGAACCTGATATACATGACAGTAGTCACCATCCAATGATCAATCAATTGTAAATAGTTTTTCTATTTCCGACTTAAGTCAGCATCGATATCAGGCCATCGACAAGTCTAACGAGCAAATGAACGAAATAAGGGTCGTCTAATGCCGAAGACCTAGATGTAAGGGGAATGATTAGTCTATTATTAAAGCACAAAAAATTTTCAACATATGACAATATGTCTTTTTTCGTTTTGTAAAACTCAGGAAACCTATGTTTGTACTGAATATTCCAACCTCTTCTCACCACATTTATGATAGTCATGAAATATTATCGCACACCCTTCACACATTGTGCTGTAAAAAAATGTAATGGGCGAATTAACTGTGGTATTTGTACTAAGTGATGATTTCTTCGTACTTGATTGACCGCTTATTACGAATTCCAAATATAATACGTCCATTAGTGCTCATCCACTTCTGCCGGCCTTAAATCACACTGTTTCAGGAATTCTTAGTTGGCATATTAATTTGAATACTTGTCATTATTATACCAACATACAATCACTTTCGTTAGGTGGTATTTCGAGTCATGAAGAGCGTGATAGAAAGTTTGAATGTGAAAAGCTTTTAGCCACTCAGTGCCCAATGGTGAAATTGTAAGCACTCAACTCTAGATTCCATTTCTGGACTATGGCAGCGGGTGACATATGAATTGACTTAGTTGAGAGATAAATAGATTTCAGCTCCTGGTGATCACTTACAGTGTACAACTTTGCACTAAATGGGTATTTATACAGTCTCTTTACTACCCACATCACAGCTAAAGCCTGCATTATGGTCCGGAAACGTCCTCGTTCATTCTTGCTTAATCTTCTCGAAATAAAAATACGAGGTTTCCCATTCTGTTTTAGGATAGCACCTAAGCTCAGTGAAGATATATCTGTAGTAAGGATAGGTTTTTCGGTCAGTGAAAACAGTCAGAGGAAAGCTTTACCATTCAAATATTGCAGAGTGTCCCTAATATATCCTCATGCCGTTTTCCACAAACAAGCGCTTTGCTAGAAACCATGTCGAGAAGTGGAGATTATATCTCTATAGAGTTAAGAAGAAACCTGAAGTAAAAGTAAGGGACGCCAACACATGATTTGAGATATTCACATGTGATGGTGCTTGCATCATTGGAGCTAGGCGACTCATATCAGGTTTAAAAACCTTATGATCTACATTATAATATATGAAGTTGAAACTGACACTTGGATGAATTTACGGCCACATTTGTATCACAGAAGCGTCCGAATAACCTTAAAAACATTAAATACGCAACTCAATGTTTTCAGCATGACCTACGATATGATTCTGATACGGGTCAACACCAAGACCGATGATAATCTGATGTATAACATTCTGGAATATGCTAGGCGAAATATTGAATCCAAGCGGTAGGAAATTGCATCCGAACGGCTGGAACGGCACATTAATAGTAGTTAATCACTCAGGATTTCATGCACTGTGATTTGTTATACGCACCTGTCAGGTGTATTTTAGAAAAAAATGTCGTGATTTATATAGAATATCTCCAGTTTATTCAGTGGTGCAACTCTGTTGCAGTAGCCGAGTATTCAGTGACAGGCAGTAACCACCAAAAATTCTAGGTGTTTTTCCATCCCCCTTTAATGGAATCCCTATGAGAGTAGCTCAAATGAACGACTTAACTGGGATTATTGTCTCTTTTCCAACCAGTTTATCTAGCTCATTCTTCACACCTAATCTTGAACCATGTAGGATTAGTCTACGCTTCGGGGAGATTTACTCTCCCTTTACTTCTATGTGTACTGGGTGAATTATCATACTCCCCCACAGCCTTCGAGCATTTTAAGACTAGACCCTTGATTAAGGTACTGTAGGAAGAGTTAGTTCATAAAGAAATTCGTACATCCAGCAATCTTAAGTCCTTTAACCCAAGTAAAGATGGACCATACTCACTAACCAGTAAAAGAAATATTGACACAACCACCCTCCTTTTTTCTGAATGGAATATCAACTGTACCAATAATTGGTAACTGTTGGTCAGTGATGCCAGCATCTCCATTACTTAAGAGTTTAAAATTTATATCATCATAAAGAAACAGTAATTTCTCTTAGAAATAGTTAACTCCATGCTACTAGTATCGACAATAAACGAAAGGAAGTTGCCTGTGTTGGTAGTTAATTTTTGCATTAAATGTGAAGTACTGCTTCAGGCGGCATTAGGCGACAACGAATCCATCCTTCTCTCAAAACCAGTTGGTCTTGATCCATCATTTTTCGGTGTTTTAGTATTAAACGACTTTAAACTGTCACAAAACTTTCATGTATGTCCAACCTTTCCAAACAAAATAGACATGAACTACAAATATGTAGCCTGTCACATGGAAGACAAGTTTCGCTAGGTTCACACGGTTCTCAACCTCAGTCAATTTGGTATGTAGGGCTACAATCATCGTAATTTATGAGTGACATGATTAACTTCACTAGTTATGTCTGCTCGAAAAGGTTCCAAGAAACTCATCTTGTAACTAGTTGTAATTCTATAACTATCCAGTGTGTATTGAATAGTATTATATCGCGCCTACATGAGCTGTACTAGCTTTCGGACAGACCAGTTAATTTATCCTTCCCAAGTCATTATCCGTGGTTGTATAAGTGAAGCGGATTGAAATATTGAAAGGTTAGTAAATAGCAGGGCTTAATTTAATCGGGATCATGCAAGATGAGGTCTAACGTTGGTTGAGATTTGTGGACAAGAAACTGCTGTAGTGTTGGAAAATTCCCCAGAATCACTAATGCGACGGGCTTTCAATAATGACGTTGCCCGTGTTGGTTTTATCAAGCTTACCTAACTGAAGTTATGGCTAGATATTCATACTGAGTCTCTGTACAATTCGTTTAGCGCACTTCCTCCATAAACTTAATACTGAGTCTGTCAGTTTGACATTCGTCTCCATTTGAGTTCAGTATTTATGAAACGATGTTTTCAGGGAATAGTTTGCCAATGCAACACTAACATGCAGAGAAATATACTACTTTCTCCAAATGTTATCGTTTCCTTCCCGACTAGTTCTCTGAAAGGTTAATGCACTTCATTTGAGCACAAATTTTAAGTGAAATTAACACCAGCATGGGTCGATATTTCCATACCAAACAATCTTTATATTCGTATTGTCAGTGAAGTAACACTGAAGCTTAGAAGTATCTTCTGTCCGTTCGAACATTCTTTCAGAAAGCATTTATTTATTCGTCAGGGATAATAAGGAAGTGGAATCGCATGGATACCAGCATACGGTTGGTCAAGTTAAGAAGTCACTGAATGCTGCAATTTGGATTTAATATCATATGATATAAAGTGATAGAATCACAGTTCAACTCTAGTGATCGGAGACCAGTAATAAAATAACATAATCGAGATTGACTAGTTTTATTATCTGGTCAATGGACGATGCCTGAAATATCTCTACTGCACTGTTCACGGGTTACAACACATCAAGTAGGCGTATGATAACAGATTTGCTACATGCTGAAACGTACACAATGACCTTAGAGTGGTAGTGAGAAACCAAAGAATCACGTAAGTTAATTGAGAAACCACCACCAAAAAATAAAACGTTACATAAGTAACGAGATTCTGGCACAATGAGATACCGAATATCGCTGCGACAGTAAAACTCCAGATAGAAAATAAATAGAACGAGGCACATCATCCACCATTTCTCACAAAAGCAATGCAAATGATAACCCTTGTTCAGCTTTGTTTGGTAGCTAGTTATAAAGTCCAAATTATGATTGGGAGTCCACTTTATCTTCAGTTGCAAAACACAATGTAAGTCGTTTTACATGGTATTGTGAAAAAGACACGTGATATAGCTCCAGACCAATTAAGCAAAATTTTACTGACTCATAGAAGTTTTAAGATACACGTAAGACCCTCCAGCAGATACTTTCCCTACTACAACACTGTCTATTATAATCCGGAGACTGAATGACCTTCAAAATACCCGCCTGCATTGCTTCTAAGCTTTACGGATGTTCCCATCATTATGTAGGAGGGGATTCTTGACTACCAAGGTGTTACAATTTAGAAGTACATACAGATGTGATCATTATAAACTCAAAACCCATATAAAGCCTTTAAAATGTATTTCATCACTGAGGCTTACTGTTGGCACTGGACTTTTCATTGCTCTGCATTCAAAGATATCTCCTGAATCCTGGATTCAAGTTGTGCAATGTGAAGTTGATAGTTATCATACAGATCAGATCACGACTACAGAAAGCGGAGGAATGCCTCGGTACATTGGAGCACTGATACTTCCTGATTGTGTGTATTTATTCGGTGCCATTCTGGTATATCAGATTGAAATTCCAGCCTATTGTAATTAGAGTGCATTTGTAGCTGCAGTTATGAATGTTTACATACCACTTTACCTTGGGGATTTCGTTAGTTCTCTGTCAAGATGCGTCGTGACTCACGAAGGGTTCGTTTCTGCTGTGTATGTCCCTACACTTAGATTGTGCTCTTCATATATACTACAGGTAGTTCATTTTTTGTGTTATGTACTTTTTACTTAAGTGTATTAAGGGTTCATCTCCTGTAGTATTTGAACGCTGTTATCACTTTATTCTTCAAGAGTGAATGATCGAAACAAAACACTAGGGTTAAACCGCAGTGGATCACAAGAAATTAAACACCAAAAAAGTTACAAGTTTTAATTGTTGAGGTTGTTTGCTTGTTTTGTTTGGCAAAACAAGGTGTTGAAGTATAACCCACAACGGTAATTAACAATCTGAAAGGAAGTCACAAGTTTGATTGATACATATAGTCTCCAAAATTATTATTTACAAACTATGTTATGAATTTGAGGCAGGCTGACATAATTATCCTAATCCCACGAAATCCAGAATTGTGACAAGACACAAGCAAGAACTCGCATTTGAAGTGCGCAGTATGAAACTTGTGTTGTTATAACATTTAAATAGCACGAAATATTTAATTGTTTAGTGAATGTATTAGCTACTCTAAAAGTATGTATTTTTCAGCTTAGAGTGTTCAATGTTAATGTTCTGACAGCTGTCTAGTACCTGATACATGATATGTCCACCGTTAGTTCCTATGACTATGCTTTGATTTGTCCTCACACAGTGAATATATCAGCTTGTCATGTAGCAGTAGTCCTATGAACCCGGCGCTTAAATAGTCCACAAATTGTCCCTTACTTTAGGTGTATCAACAAGCATGGCTCATTTTCTCTCCAGTTTTCTACGGTGCGTTTTGAATGACGAGAAATATTCTAGGAATATTGGAACTTTTTTTTACTGAATTGTGTCACCATCCTCAAGCTCTGTAGGTATCAACTGTGAATTTGAAGTTTGTGCACAAAGTTGTATGTAACGTTATTTATTTACCCGATATAAGCTTAAACTCGAGTTACTTTGTGTAAAGGAAAGTGACACTATCCAGTGGAGTGTAGGCCAGATGTGTGGTCTGGTTGAAATCTAGGTTCTTTAACTGTCGTTGGATCTTTGAAAACATGTCATGACAAAATTCGTTAATTCATACGTTATAACCCATCCATATGAGTCAATGGTTGATTATTTCTACATGATAATTCAGTGAAGAACATTTATTGACTTCGATAATTGAGTAAGGTACGTAACTACAATTCAACAGATAGTATTCAAGTTACTTATAAGATATTCTATTGAATTTAAAGAGTCGAAATTATTTGATTTTGTTGGGTCTGCTGAATAATGACGAAGTGAAGTTTGAATTCAACTCTGTGGGAATTTCATTGAGAAATTCTTGAAGTTGAAAAAAGATTTATGATAAAGCTCAACTATAGCAAAGAATCCAAGTGATTACTAAATATATATGAAACAATTGTTACTATTTGTTTGGCAATAAAAAACCGTAAGAAAGGATGCAAAGTATATACTGTTTTTACATAATTTACTGAATTTTTCCGAAATAGTCGCCCTCAAATGCCCTGGTACGATTGAGGGTGATGAGTCAGCTCTCCTTGAAATGCTCTCATATAGCTACGCGTATACAACCACCACCAGGGAAGTCCTACTCACTGCCTTCTTCGTAACGGGGGTGTTGTTTACGAAATTGACAGCAATGTTCGGTGCTTTAACCACGGGTTGATGGGTACGAAGAGTCCACGTAGGAAAGTTGGAAAACCCTGATTCCATACCATTAGTGTATATGGGTTCTAGGATCCTGATGGAATAAATGTCGTATGGACGTATTGTTGGTCACCGGCTATCAAGGGACTGCATCTCCTTACGTTGCTCTAATATCTTGTGGATTAGACCTGTAGGTCGAGGGTTTGAAGAGTGGCCTCCTAAGAAAACCACTTGCTTCGGTTCGGTCACCCGGACATTATTCTAGTCCTTACACAAATCGGATGATAAAGTGTGGTGCATATATATTTGATGCCTCCTTGTACCAGTGTTTATGTATTTAAACAACTTTAAATAAATAAGTTCCAGGGTAGTCATTACTTCTGTCTTGAAGTCAAGGAGCATTCGTCAAAGAAACTCATTCGTATGACTTCAAAGCATCCATATATTTGGGGACATTCATATTGCTTTAGTTAGCTTTTTAAATGACCCCACATAGCTTTCGTGGTATTCTTGTGAGCTCTTTTACTTGGGTTGGGAAAGTGTGTGTATACAATAGCTTTGTTTTTGTAACAATATCGTCAGAGAAGCTCGTATGTTTGCTAACCGTCAGTACAAATGGTAGCTGTAACAATATATTTCTGAGTCATCAGGATTGGTGTCCTAAGCCTTCTGATTATGGATTTTCTCAAAATACCCTTTTCAGACAACAGCTATCCTGCATACAAAAACCCCATTATGGCTAGTGGAATCAACTATTTACGCACTTGATTTTTCTTTTAATTTATCTGCTCTCCTTTTCCGGGTTGCCGTTTTACATATCTTAACAATTCTCCTTGTACTACTAAGAGATAATTGTAACTTTCACAAATCTTTGACTTCAAGGCAAAAGAAATAATAACTAACATGAAGAGGTTAATTAATTATGGGAAATTGGTTTGAGTCATTTTGACAATCACTCAAGGTCATTTACATAATTAAACTGCACTCTTTTATCAACTTCAGAACTTTTTTTAATCCACTTCAAGTTTTTTTTTCTATACTCTAATTTATTAGTCACTATCCACATTCTTGTACATTGGACTATTGGGAGCTGTCGGTGAACGTATGGCAAAACGTATGCGGATTCAATTATTCCGAAAGTTAGTCTATCAAGATGTAGCCTACTTTGATGTACATAGTTCTGGAAAATTAGTAGAAATGTAAGTTATTTCACTGTATTTTATTTAGACAATTCTAAACCTAACGTTATAAAGATCGACTGCCTTGTGCTTAGTTCTGTAAGATATCATCCTATCACAATAAAGCAAAATGCCTACCCAGTATTTCCTGGTTTACATATAACAGTGCCTTAAGACTATTAGTCATCAATCGTTTTGATTTATTGAGTCTTAGATGTAAATATTAGTGTGTTTAACCATTTATGAACATTGAATCAACTTAAGATTTAAAATAGTTTAAGCAAACTTGTTAGTTGATAAAATAACGGGATAATTAAATCTGTTGATTGGTTTCCTATCAATTAACTTATCTGCATATATTTTTTTGTAGTATTGGATCAGATGTACAAAACTTTAAAAGTTCATTCAAACAATGTATTTCACAAGGTTTACGTAATGGGATTCAAGTAAGTTGGTACTAATTGTTATAGCCTTGATTTATCTGTGCTTTAGTGTGTGCTTAATATGCCAGAGCAGAGAGAGTTATTTTGAAGTGGTTTACAGCTTTGACTTGCTAGATCACTTAATGCAACCTTGGGACATGTGACGCTTGATCTCGACTTGTGATTGAACGGCCGTGAGGACAAAGAGAAAAAATTACTCTATCACTGACCTGACTGGTTGGGGATCGGAGAGAGAAAACGACTTATCTGTGACTCCATATCCGACTTATTCTTAATTCAACTAACTCAAAAAGGTAAACGAATAAATATATGACTAGCAAAACCGCAACACAGAGGTAATGAAAAAAAAACAATTGTATACACACTAGGACATTAGAGTACAAAAAATGGAATGTAAGGGTCTCATCTAAACGATATCAATTTCGAAATAGAAGAGAATATGACGGTAATTTATACATTAAACAAAAGCTCATAGTTCATAGAATAAAACATACGCAGAACTAATTGTTGATGCTTTGAAGAATTAGAATTAATCTAAACAATATCCCCCAAAAAATGGCTTTCATTGTTTGTCACCACTTCTTTATTATCCTCTTTCTAACTATAATAGTAATGATAATAATCACGCATGTTACGCTTATAAATAGAAAAAAAGGAAAATCTCATCATCCCTTTTTCCTAAACATACTGTAATATAATATATAATATAATACAATATAATAATAACCTTGTAAAGGCTCTCTACTCGAACACAACTGGTCGAGTTAGAGCCTTTGACGAACTGTTGTCAGAATTGATTACTGTTGGGATATTCAGGAAAATATCCCAAAAATTATCCTGTTAAGCCTAATGCTATCCTTGGACATGAAATGGTATCATCTTATTGGTCAATATTTATTTAACGTGTCATTTTCCTACTGGCCATTATTGTACAATGTTATTTTCTATTTTATGGTACGTTGTGGTCTGCTTGACTGGTATATAAACAAAGTATGTTTGAAATATAATGATTCATATATCCGAGGCTGTGACCTGTGTTCTGGACTCAACTGGCTGGGTTAGACAAGGAAGCGGGGCCAATCAGAACCCTAGGCCGTTCTACGTGTTTGTGCGTCTTTGGTCCGAACAATAATTCGCTACCCCCTTAATCCGCAGCATTTCTCACAGTTATAACAATTACCTCAAGTGGTGTTCGTCAGGGCTGCCCACTCTCTCCATTCTTGTTTAAATTTGTCATTGACGTACTACGTTGTTACTGACTAACTGATCTAGACATAAAAATATAAATTGCCATTATGGTGAAAATCATAGGAAATGAGAGATTTCCCCCTAATACAATAATATTTACACTCTTTAAATCAAAGATTTTAGTTATCAAAAGAGAGAATATCAAATGATTTCCCACGGATTTTAAATTCATACAATCTTTAGACTTTATGTTAGTCTGTAGTAAACAAAGACTTGATGTGGATAACAAGTCTATTGTTTAACGCAAAATTACAGACTGCTTCGATAAAATATGTAAATCATACATTAAATACATTATTTGAGCATCTTCCTTCATTTTTCATGTACGCACTTCATGATTCTCTCAATTCTGTTGCTCTCTGTTTCCCTTTTTTCGTTCTCTTCAATTCCATCTTTTGCTGATAGGCATTCCGCTTCCGATTGGTGCTACATATTACCTATATCTGTCAATATAAGTAGCATACACCACAACTATACTTATTAAGTATAAAATAAATTGATTTAGTATTGTTTACTAGATAACATTTTGAACGTAGGTTTTTTGTTATGATTATTCCAATATGATCGAATATGATCATGTTGAAAAAATTCTATACAGAACTTCATCTAGTAGATACGTGAGAAATTTCCCTTTCATAGTGGCTTATTTATTTATTTAAACACATAAACATTGGTACAAGGAGGCACCAAGTAGATGTGCGCCTCATAAATCATTCGATTTGTGTGAGGGCTGTGATACTGCCCGGGTGCCCAGACCGAAGCAAGCGACCATACCACGTTGGGAGCACCGGTTCAAAGTGGCTACCTACATTCTGTAGTTACATCGATGTAGAGACATCATTTTCTGTATTGAAAACTATTATTACACCTACAAGAGAGAAAATGGTCCCTGAAAATTTAGTTCAGTTGATACATAGACCAATAATCATAATGTATTATATTTTCCTTTCGTCCAATTGTTGTTTTAATATCTATTGTAGCTGTACATATTTGTATTACAATATGAATTTTAAAACAGTAATATGTTAAAAGTTTGATTTTTATCCGAGTCTAGGTCAGTTTTAAAACTTTATGAATATTTCGTTTTTATTGATGCATTCTGATGCTTATCCAGTTATTTTGAACTTCTTATCTCCTATAAAACAATCAACTGTCCTTTCTGAAAGGAACTCGCACCATTTACCCTGATATGTGGTAATCATGCTTAATGATCAGACAATTGATAAATTCAATTAGGCGTTCCCATATTAGTCATTCACTATTTTGGAGGTGCCTTAGATGAGTGTTTCTCCTATCCATCTGTCATGTATCTAACTGTGACTAAAGTCATACACTTAAATCATTACACTAATTCCGTTTATTGAATTTGTTTCTTTTTCTTTACATAAATAAATACCTTTTAGGACATAATCATCGCAATTCGTGCACCATTCTCATATTGTATAAACAGTTCAAGAATATGATCAAATTTGTCAATTGTTTTAGCTCTTATGGTAAATTAAACTTCCATTCAGAGGTTGCCATCATTGTTGAGTGTTAAGTTTTGGTTCTGTATGTGGTGGGAGTGTGTGTGATCCCATTCCCAAATCAACATCAATTATTCAAAATGTCGTTGTTGGTAGTTCTAAACCTGTAGTTTATTGTACTGTAGTCATCCAACTATTAACTATCAAGTTGCAAGTTTAAATTCATTCGACCTATTCTGCTTTAATTAGATGAATAGTTTCCTTGGCTCACAGTCTTCGATGGATTACTCACATATATTGGGATCACCGAGTAAGCAGTTCTAAGGTCATACCCGGAGTACTAGGATAAGGCGATATGTCGGTTGATGAAGTAGTAAATCCTGATCAACTGAGGTCGTTGGGGTTTATATTGCTTGTTACTAATCACTTCCTGCCTCAACGCATAGTGTTGGTTGGCGTAAGAGCAAGTTGAAAAAAGCTAGAAGTGACCAAAACAAGACATCGCATTATTTGATCAATTCATCGACTGTTGGAATAAACTATGCTTGTGTAGATACAGACGACCTGGTTCGGGCTCACCCGATACTTGTGACATGACTCGTAATGACACAGATGCATTTACTCTTTGTATTCTCATAGATCTTTAGTTTTAGAGCTTTTCTTTTGGGAATTCATTCTTATCGACTCCTGTTCCCCAAACTTATTTTTACTATCATTAATACAACCATTACCACTATAGTATGCTGTATATGTTGACATGGTGTGGTAACGTGGACAAGTTCATATGCTCTAGGTTTCGGGTCGCTTTTAAATCTAACTGATTGATTGAACTGTTTAGTACATAAGGAGAATTGAATTTACACATTATCTTTATAATTAATTAATTTTTCTATAGGTTGTTGGATCTGTATTTGCATTATTAAGCATATCGCCTACTTTAACAGCTGCACTTCTTGGTTGTTTACCATGTGTTTTTTTAATTGGAAGTTTAATGGGCACTGAACTTCGTCATATTAGTCGTGAAGTTCAATCACAAGTAAGTTAATTTACTATTTATCTATCTTGTAAAAATATAGACTTCATATTCTATGTAAAAAATATAAGATTCCTTTGTTATAATATTTTCTAAATTGTTAATGAATTAATATCAGATTGGTTTTGTGGATATTATAGTAATTTCAATGGTTAAGATCATGAGTCAGTTGAAGCTAGACCACCTGACCAACTGACTCATGATCTTAACCATTGAAATTACTATAATATCCACAAAACCAATCTGATATTAATCAACATATGCTCACTAGTGACTAGCTTCACGAGGTGTATCCTGGAGTTCTAGTGAGAAGTAGTGACCAGTAGAGTTCAACCAGGTCTGTTGTAAGATAGTAACTCACTGAAGACAACGATGGATGTGTCGCTCAATTTCGTTGATTAGTTGAAGTTAGATATTAACACCGTTGGATGCCAGCTCAGTGGTCTAGTGGTTAAGTGCTCGCGCGAAACCAGTAGGTCCTGGGTTCGAATCTTGCAGGGGGCGAGGTCGTGGATGCGCACTGTTGAGGAGTCCCACAACAGGATGAGGCGGCCGTCCAGTGCTTCCAGGGTTTCCAGGGTGGTATAGCTTCAACTGACTCATGATCTTAACCATTGAAATTGTTAATGAATTCAAAGAAAAATTGTAAAGAATCTTTCATAATGTACACTAAGACTTCACTTCTTAATTAGTTTGAGAAATTCAGGAAGTTAGTTCCAAATCTACAAAAAGGGATTACCACTTTGTTTTTTATTATTCTCCTCATTTTTCTATTGACAAATACTGATTCGAACTCTTCAAATTATTAAAAAGAAACGTCTGTTTTTTTGACTTTTGAATTATCAATGTAAATGTGTCTGATAACGCTGCAATCTCCTTGGATGTAGATGTCCCCAAATGCCCTGGTATGGCCGATAGTGGGGTGGGCCTACCCTCCCTCTCGAAATGCTCTCACACGGCTACGCGTATACAGCCTCTGCCAGGGAAGTCCTATTCACTGCCTTCTCGTGGTGGGGGTGTTGTTTACGAAAATGAGAGGACGGAAAGCGAATGTCCGGCGCTTTAACCAGATCCCGAACCAGTGGTGCACATGGGCTCCAGTATCGTGCGGGGACAAATGGCGTATGAACCAATCGTTGATCACCGACTACCATGGTACTGCATCTCCTCACGATGCTCCACTACCTTTTGGGTTGGACTTTGAGGTCAAAGGCTCGAGGTGTGGCCCCCTAAGAAAACCACCTGCTTGGGTCTGGGCACCCGGCCAGTATCACAGCCCACACATACACAAATATGGTGTGGCGCATATATATTTGGTGCCCTCTTGTACCATTATTTATGTGTTCAAGTAATAATAATAATAGATGCATACGGATAAGACTCAATAATCTGCACAGGTTGTTAATGTCACAATAATCATGAACAATTGTTAGAGATTAGCAATAACTGATTGCGGTTTAAAAAAAAATACAGAATCATGATAAAAACCAAAAGCAAGGACAAAACATAATAGAGAAGTAATTAGTTCATGAAGTAATGAAAGTTTGTATGTAATTACTTTTCCATGCAGAGCTTAGGCTTTAATTGATAGATTACCGACACCGCAGTGCATAAGTTTTTGACTCGACCTCCCTTTGATAACATTCGTTTGAATGTGTATATTATTTTGAAGGACGATTCTTTCGGAGATGACGTGCTCAGAGTTAATGAAGTGCTCCTGTATTGAGCTATTGATTGCATTACATTCCCTTTTTTAAAAATCTATTCCTGGTAATGCTCTGCGGTGCATTTAGAAAGTGTTCACTTTGCTCATCCATTGTAATCTGCCCCACAGGAGCAAGTAGACTTATAGATGCAAAACAATGTGGCCCAAAGCAAAAGTTTATCTTTAACACATTTATGAGTGGCAGTTCAGCTTGAGAAGACAATGAGAAGAGTAGCTAAGTATCAAGTATAAAGAATTTCTGCAGCCGTATCTCCTTCAAATTTTCTTCGTTGAATTCTTTTTATTCTTATCCAATCACTCATTGTCTCAACATACTAGACGATAATCAATTTTCTGTATTTTCTCTCTTTGTTCTATCCACCTTACTATTCTCTTTTAGAATTCTCTACTCGCTTCGTTAACTGATGAGGTGTTTAGTCATATACGAACAGTGAAATCTTTGACAATGGAAGATTTCTTAATTGAGTACGTTTATTTACTTATTTACTTGGGTTCTAATATATGTGTTATTTTCGAGATTCTCATTTGATTGTCTATGTATATTTTCCGAGTCACCGGAATACCACACTCGAGGTTGATTAAAATTAGAAGACTGTGTTACTTTCTCGGATATGGAGGGTCCACCTAGGGGAGTTGGAAAACCCTCATTTCAAACCAATGGTGCACATGGGCTCCAGTACCCTGAGGGGACAAATGGCGTATGAACCAATCTTTGGTCACCGACTGGCTACCATGGGACTGCATCTCCTTACGATGCTCCACTGTCTTGTGGATCAGACCTTTAAGTCAAAGGCTCCGGGTATGCTCCCTAAGAAAACCACCTGCTTCGGTCCGGGAACCCGGGCAGTATCACATCTCACACACAAATCAAGTGACTTGTGGCGCATATGTATTTGGTGCCCCTTTGTACCAATATGTGTTCAGATAAATAATAAATAAAATAGATATAAAAATATATCAGAATGGGTTTTGTGGAGAGTTTTAGAAATTTTTCACAAGTTGAAATCATGAGTCGGTTGAAGCTAGACCACCATTGAAAACCTGGAAGCACTGGACGGCCGTTTCGTCCTGGTATGGGACTCCTCAGCAGTGCGCATCCACGATCCCGCGTGGTGCGGGATGATTTCAACCTGTGATAAAAATATATATCAATAATAAATAGTTCTATAATAAAAAATAACTAGCTTAAGTCAAAACTCACATTGAGTGTGGTAAATTCAGAAACAAATAAGCACAAAAGGGACCGGTTCAATATCACCGGAGAAATAATAAGTCTGTTGACCAATAAGAGGTTAGTCACTTTACGATTGACTAATAGAATACAATAAATAAATTTTACAATTGAAAGACTAGTTACTCATGAGTAGTACAGCTATAATACACATCTCATACATATTAAAAAAAAGTAGTAAATAGAAACCATACAAATTATCGAACATCTAGTTTATCCTATTTTTTATTCTAAGTTATGGATAAAAGTAGATATAATTGATATTCATAAGCTAAGTGCATATTTGTTTGCTAGACTTTTAGCCGTATCTGTTATGCATTGAATGGCTAGCGATGTTACTTTTGTGATATAATATATGACTTAAATAAGCTATATGCATACTCTCCTAACAGTTTGGTTTATGTGGAACCATAAATTAGTCGGTGACCATTTCATGGTTAAAAAACGGTTCTCATTTAATCATTGAAGTTAAGTGGAGCGGTGGTTTAATGTCTAAGGTGTCGAACTTTCAATTACTGGTCCCCTAGACTCGAATTCTATTGTATCTGCTTTTCGTTTTGGGCAGATGGCTAATATTAATGACTATTTTACAAATCTCTTTGTTGTCTATGAACTCCTCAACTAATTAAATAATCTTAGTCAAACAGAAAAAGTATATATTGCATGAGTTGTTAAAATTACTGGGTAAATAGTACTTACATTCTGTGAATATGTATAAGTAGTTTGGCTAACCGGCTAAGAAGATAGTCTAAGTGTTTATTACAACTTACTCACACCTTAATTTAACTTTCTATGCAATCCCAATACGTCGTGTGACTTGACAAGCCTCATCTAGTCTGTTAAATATATCACTTAAGTTGGTTTATTCCCGGTGGTCCTCAGTCTCAGCCCACCAAGGAATTATAATCAAAGCTCTTATTATTTCAGTCCATTTTGGACTCATTGAAAGAGAAAGAGAGGAAGGGAGTCAGTTCACAAACATTAGTGATGAGATAGTTATTCCTTTGATTAACTCGAAGAGAGTAGGAACAGAAAGTTACTTTACTTCGTTGGTTTCTTGTCAGTTTTTTTACACATAAGCTGTATTGTTTCAAGATCGAAATTTCAAAGTGAGTTAAAAAATACTATCAGATCTAAATAAATTTAAGAGACTGAATTAAACAAATAGCTTAAACAATTGAATAGACTGGCTAGTGTATATTCGTGCGGGACGAGGTATGTATTTTACGTATCTCCGTACTTTTGTGGTGTATGCTACTGATGTCAACATATATAAGTTGCATGTATCACCAACCGAAATTGGAATGCATGGCGGCAGAATGTTGGGAAGATCGAAGATAAGAGAACAAGAACAGAGAATGATTGGTATGAAAATGAAGGAACAATGATGTCTGAGACAATTGATTGACATTTTGCAAATAAAGTATTTACTTTATGGATTTTACTAAGGGATTCGGTAATTTCGTATTCAGATACATTTTGTTGTCCCGCCTGTTCTCGTTCACTACACTCTCATCTTCGGCGGTAATAATAATAGTGTTATTGTTATGACTTTTGCCCTATTAATTATCATGTGATAAAATCACCAATCCGAATACTGACTTATTGATATGCTTGAATGCTATTACGAGTTCACCTTACTCGGTAACCGGAACGAAGGTCAAAGATACAGTGACACGATAGGCTATTATAATCCGTTGTCCGCAGCCCTGCTGACTAGATCAAGAAGTCTTGATGAGGCCTAGAGAATGTATTCTACAAGCACTCAGAAAATACGAGGTCATTAATCCCACAAATCAAGCTTATTTATGCAAGGATAGAAACGCCCTTGGGAGAGCCACAAAATTGCGTACTAAAAAATTCCGTCAACCAATGACAGTCAGGGGTTTCCGAGTGAGAAATGTAAGCTGTAGGTCAATTAAGCGTCACTTGGTGCGAAAACATAAAATTCAGATTTCCAGAATAAAATTACAAAATTAGGACCTTTTCCAAGTGAGTTCTGAGGATCTAACGTCCTCAACACTTATATTATCTTGTTCTTGTACGAAACCAATGACACATATCAAAATAACACTAACTCTGAATCCTTATAGATTCTTTTTGCCTGGCCCTCCCCGTTGAGTTCAGAAAGAAATTTCAGCCTCCACTATATGAACAAATTTATCTCAGATATACGTAGTTTATATACAGGTGGACCAGACCGCATCATACCATAAAATAAAAAAAATAACAATTATAAAAAATCAAGCTATAAAAGTGTTTTTGTGACTATGGGGTAACGTAACTAATAAATAATCATATGATATTAGTTGATAGGTTAAACGAAAGCTTATAATAAAGTGCTAGCAGTGGGATCCACGACGCACATTTCGTCCTATTTGGGACTCGTCACCTTTATGTACCTGCATCCCAGAGTTGATGTTCACTCTGGAACTCGAACCCAGTACCATTCGCCTCAAACGCTATCGCGTTATCCACTTAGCCATTGAGTTCTACAATAAAATGGCCCACAAATGCCCTGGTACGGCCGAGAGTGGGGAGAGTCCGCTCTCCCTCTCCAAATGTTCTCACATGACCACGCGTATATAGTCTCTGCCAGGGAAGTCCTACTGACTGCCTTCTCGTGGCATTAATGTTGTTTACGAAATTGGAAGGACGAAATGCGAGTGTCCGGCTCTGTAACCAGGTTGGTGGACACGGAGAGTTCACCTAAGGGAGTTAGAAAACCCTCTTTACAAACCAATGGTGCACATGGGTTCCAGTATCCTGCGGGAACAAATGGTGTATGAACCAATCGTCGGTCACCGGCTGGTTACAATGGTACTGCATCTCCTTACAATGCTCTACTGTCCTGTGGATCAGACCTTTAGGTCAAAGGCTCCGGGTATGTCCCCTAAGAAAACCACCTGCTTCGGTCCGGGAACCCGGGCAGTATCACATCCCACACACAAATGAAGTGACGTGTGTAGCGCATATCTATCTGGTGCCCTCTTGTACCAGTATTTATATGTTCAAATAAATAAATGTAATAAAATGGATATGAATATACATATAATATAGTTACGTAATAGTTATCCATCAAGAATATTTTATGTAATAACAATTTATTAATCAGTTCTTGGAAGTTAATCTTCTTTATTCATTCATTCATTCATCTATTGTTTTTCAAATTATTCACTGTGTTCTATTCTACTATAGTAAAGTAAATTATAATGTGAATAAATCTAAAATGTTAAATGAAAAACTTTCGTTTGGAATTGGTTCATTTCAAGGTCTTTCCAATTTAACATTAAATGGTAAATTAATAATTTAATATATATGTATGTTCAATGAAAGATTAAATGATGTAGTTTTAATGTTTTCTCGGTGTAAAATATTTTAAATAAAGCTAGAATAAACATTGATCCAGCATTCATTATATTTCTGATTGAGATCATGAACCGTTTGATGTTAGACCACTATTGAAAACCTGGAAGCACTGTTTGACGGCCGTTTCATCCTATTGTAGGACTCCTCAGCAGTGTGCACCCTGGATGTGTAGTAACTCACTGATAACAATGGTGGATGTGTCGCTCAATTTCGTGGATTAGTTGAAGTTGGACATTAACACCGTTGGATGCCGGCTTAGTGGTCTAGTTGGTTAAGCGCCTGGCGCAAGACTGATAGGTCCTGGGTTCGAATCTGTTGGGTTGAGGGATCATGGATGCGCACTGCTGAGGAGTCCCACAATAGGACGAAACGGCAGTCAAACAGTGCTTCCAGGTTTTCCATGGTGGTCTAGCTTCAATTGACTCATGATCTCAACTGTTGAAATTAATACAATCTCCACAAAACCCCTTCTGATACTAATCTCCACAACCCCTATACTGATCATTATATTTCGTCAGGTTCTCATCAGCTGCTTACAACCAAATATGTATTAGAATTTTACATAGAGATAAGAAATAGTATGGAACAATTGACATAAATGAATGTAAAGGATTGGAATGACAAAGATTATCTACATATGTGTGCAATAACAGGTCAGAGGTTATTAGGTGTTAGAATCAAGGAAACATTAAGAATGGGTGATGAAATAGTTGAGTGGAGTTCAGAGACAGATATGATAAATTGTGTGATAATTTCAGAGGTCATAACGAAATCATGGAATCAAAAACTGATAAGATGGGTTACGTAATAATTGAATAGAATTTGAAGAGTTCACATGATTCAAGAGAATCAAGTGAGTGGAAATGTGTGAGTGAATGGGTGGTTTAAGAATTCGGTAATGAAAGAGAAATATAACAAATTAAACATTAACAAAATGAAACTAATGACCTAAAAATTGAATTATCAGGGTAGTAATAAGTTTATTACTGTCTCTTTTCGAATACATAGATCAAGTTTGAGTTTAGTTTCATCGTGATCGCTTCAAGAAAACGGAGAGAAGCAGTATTTCTTTGCCTGTTAATAATTTTAAAAGTATGAGAAATGTCAGTGGTATACTCGGTGTCAAGTAAATGCCGAGCTATCGCACTGTTGAGAGCCCTAGTCCCTCGCAGTCTCGACTTCTTTGGAACATGATCAGAAATGCGAACATGTGCTCTTCTCTCGATTCTTCTAATGTATGTGCTTTGGCACGTACATGTAAATCGGTAAATGCAGTTGGAGCTACTGAGAAAAGAGGACTTGTCGATTTTAGTTTGTTTGAGTGAGCAATTCGTTTCCCATTCTGTAGTCAGTTTTGCCTCTGGATAGGTCACTTTCAACACGGAATTTATTTTGTGATTAATTATTCCAGTAATTTCATCTCCCTTGAAGCGTAAGTATAAGAAGCAAGTTTTCTTTTCTACTCTGTCATACTTTATCCGAGGGTTGGTATTTGCATATTTATGGATGAATTTCGCCGGATATGCATTTTCACGTAGGCACTTAATGATGAAAGCAATTTTTTCTTCAAGGCATTCCTTTGAGCAAATTTTACGTGCACGGTCAAAAATGTTTTAATTGTGAAGTCCTCATTTGTCATTTTTGAGTAATTTTATTAAGTTTGTGTAGAAGTGAGTTATTCTAAAAGTGTTAAATCAGTTTGATTTAGTGAGTTCGTTTATAATCAGTTGTTTTGGTAGGTTTCATTATCTTCATTTATCTTTATATTCAAGTTGATTGTCTTGCTTGATTGATCTATGCCTATGTTGTTGATTGATCATTTTTGTCTTAGTTAATTGATTGGATCTGTATCGATATGTCTATTGATTAAAGATGGGCCTGAATTTTATACGTTTAGGAATTATCTGGCATCAGAATTCCTTTGATCCTGGATTTCGAAACGTTTATTTAGTCAAATTTATGTCGGTGGTCGATCATGTGCATAGATATCGTTGACAGCATATCGTATCTGTGTTTGTGTATACTTATATGAAGGGGGGGGGCGTCCATTCAGCCCATTTATAAATGAAATTTTGTTATCTAAGACAACAGTAAGAGCTCCGTGATCGTATCATATAGCTCAGATAATTCACTAACACCAAAAGCATTCACCTAAGCTGAAAATCTCTGTCATTAGTTGAATACTTCACGTCATTCTGTGTGTATATGAATATTTATCTGGAATTTTATTGATATAATGAACCGGTCAATGTTACACCACCATTAAAAACTTGGAAACACTGGAAAGGTCTGAGGATTGAGTCATATCACCGATAGTACCGGTATGTGGCTATAGTAAAACGTTTTTTATAGATAAACAACATATCTCTCTCAAACTAAAGGAAAGGTTAAAATGGACAACAAGCTTTACCGGGAAAAACTTTGGGGTCTTGTGACATCGATAAATGCAATGCCGTGTCACTGAAATAATGCATAACCCAAATACGGCCATTCACTTGACCTCACCTAGACAAGTGAAGAACCTATGCGGTTCACTCTTCGGTTATCTGGAAACCTCAAAGCAGCTTATTGATAAGGTGACCCAATCAGACATATCAATTCAAGGCTAGATGACAAGTGATGTGTTGTGGTGGACATGCACTATTGGTCGAGACTTGGCTTGATTTTCCGAGTGACATAGATATGCTTTCGGCTAAAAATTTGAATTGAGTCTTTAAAGGATATGTATCTTTAGTCATTGAGTTTGCATACATATTTCATTTGTGTTAGCTTACAAAAGCTGCCTATTCACTCTTGATTTCCTCACTCAAATGGCTGTTTGGGCACGTATACAGGAAACGTGCATATCAGTAATGGACTCAGACGACTGCTTACACACAACGCTTTTCTTCTCGATAATGTGGATAGCATTGAACTTAAATATAGCTTAATTCTATCCTACAGTATGCATAAACTTTTAACCACCGGGTCACGGATTCAAACTTATGAAAGTTTAAGATCTTGGTATAATACAAAACTTTGTGTTTAAGATGTTAATGACTATTGGGTTTGGTTAATTTCTTTTATTTGGTTCAAACAATCACTGAAATTATTTAATGTCGAGTTGTACACATATTTCGTTCATTAATTTTTTTATTTGAGCTGAAAGTCTAGAGAATAACAGATGATTTATTACCTTGAATAAAGGTGTTGTTCTTGGAGTACTGTATGTCGGAGGTCATCTAATGTCTCGGGGTGAATTAGACGCTGGAAATTTAATGTCATTCCTAGCCACTACACAAACGTTACAACGTTCACTTACTCAATTATCCTTACTATATGGACAAGTAGTTCGTGGATATACGGCATTAAAACGTATTCATGATGTAAGTGAAGTGTTGGATAATTGCCGTCAGTTGGTGTGTATATTTTTTGTGTATTTTTAAATGTTAGAGAACTTGAAACTTTAACCTTCAAGCCTTGTTACGAGTACCTGTTAACACTGAGTTCCAACATTATATGTGACTATCATTCATTAAGATAGATTATGATCGTATAATATTATTGGTTGATTAAGGCTAGAAATGCGAACCATCGGATGTCAGCTTGCCAGAGATATAAAGATAACTTTCTACAACGATACTTGAAGTCTTTGGTTTCGATTAGATCATAAAATTTACAAGAACTATCTCTTTCCTATCTTTGTGACGAGTGAAAATCATTCGATTATTCAATAAAACACTTAATTTCCAATCATAATGTCTTAGGTTCACAATCTTCTCCCTGCATCCCTCAGTTTCATTTAGCTGTAGGACTAACTGCCACACTAAAGACCGCAAATATATCCAACTCAACAACCAACCCACATTGCATCCGGTGGAATGTTAAACATTGCTGGCGAGATACACTGAAAAGTCACAGTCAAGGAAACATCATAGAGCATAGTAATGTTTCTGACAGAACGTCTACCACTTGACTTATTGGGAATTGACTGGATAGAGAGATTAAAGTTAGCAGGTCGCCACATAAACTTGATCTGCATCAACATCAATACAACGAAAGTGGACGATAAAAACTCAGTAGATGGATTATTAAAACGATATAAAATGGTATCTAGTGACGGGCTTGGAGGATGCACTAAATCGAAAGCTACTCATACCCTTCAATAGTGATCGGAGTCAGTATTCCGGGCTAAAAGACCTGTACCATATGCTAGTCGAACGACTTCATAGATTGGGTGTTATTGAACCAGCGAACTTCTCAGAATTGGCTGCAATGGTAGAGTCCGCATATGTGATGGATACTCAGCCGGGCTAAATGAAGCCCTAGAAACTCATCGGTATCCCTTACCCTTGCCTGAGTATCTCTTTGCCAAGCTGAATAAAGGTGTTTTTTGCAAAGTTGGATTTGCCAAAAGCATATTTAGTGTGGGGGATAAAATCGTCGCCAAGTCATACCTTGAGAAAAATCGGTGAGAACCTGGAGCTATTGAAAGGAGAATAAGGAACTTTGTTTTACAAAGTACGTGTGACGTTTGGGACGTGGACTAGACACATGAGCCAAATCGACTAAGAAAAACGGGCAATGAACGCAGAAGGTAAGAAGGTTGGTCTTCCATCGGAGATAGTTATAGTTATCAAGCTGCAAGCAAGTGGATACAAGGAAGAAGTCTTAGTTTTCGAAAGAAAGGCGCTGAGGAAACCCAAAGTATTTCTCGAAAATGTCCACAAGGGTCCAAAAAACGCTAGGAAACATTTTATCCAATCAACGTTGAATAGAAGCATCTCAGTAACATCTGGGAAGTAAAGAGTCACATGTCAAATTCCTGATAGGATGATTACGTGTCCTGCTACCATATTTAGTATGGTTCCAGAGACTTTCAGAAGCTCAAGGCCAACCAAAATACTATAAATGCCTCCGATTTTCTGTACATGAAATAAACTTGAAGTTAAGCGTTTTTCACACTCAGCACCCTTTCTCTAGTGTTTATGTTGTCGTTACATATACTCTCTTTAATTATTTGTGGTGTTTTACTTTTGTTTTTCATGTTTATAACTAGGTTGTTTAGTTAAACGCTTTTGTCTTGTGGGTGAATCTCTTTCATTTGTCATTGTGGCTATAAATTTTGGTTTTTCCACTTCTGTGGCTGCTAAAGTGGTATGCGTGTTTCTGTTGTCATTTCGAATCTATATTTTGTTGTCAATTTCGTGTCTGTTAGGAAATAATATTTTTATTTGGTGTCTTGTAGATATTGGCATTACCTGACGGAATTGGTTGTATAACATCATCATCTTCATCGTTAGTGGTTAGTAAGCAACATTTGACCAACATAAGTGAAGTACAATATCTTTCTTCATACTCTGCACCGAGTATAGAATTTTCCGATGTCAAATTTGTTTATCCGAATCGTCCGGAAACGATTGTGTTAAATGAATTGTCAATGTTTTTACCAGGGGGTAAAGTGATCGCTCTGGTTGGTCAGTCTGGTGCAGGTAAGTAGTAGTAGTTATAGTCAATTTTTACATATGCACTCCTAGCACCTACCACTGCTCCTAGTCATTGTCGTCTAACATAATGTGTTAGTAGATTTGTAGAGATGTTTGCTCTACTCGATCGTGAGTTACATTACATAGGCTAACTTCGACTTACCAACCACTGAGGAAGTACTGTACAGTTGTTTCAACTTATCGGGGGAAATCTTATAAGGCGTCACATACAGAGCCCCACCAGGTGTCGTACTCTAAAAGATCTTCGTTTTTATTTGATTTCTTGTATAATTCAAATGCATCGTGTGAATAGAAAACCTTCGTCCAGTCTGTTTACTATATTACCGATGCTAGTTCCTAATTGAAAAGCAATTAGTTAATAGATCATTAAGTTATGACTACTCCACAGTGTTTAGTCATAATCTGTCTGAAAATTGAAGTCCTTAAGTTCATAAATTTTCGGTTAACCCGCTTTGATATGTGGGAAGCAGTCTAGCTAAGAATTAACTCAACCAACACAAAATCATTCCTGACATTTTCATCTTCCCAAAGTTTTTGAGAATGTTGAACAATTCTTGACAATCTACATGAGGGTTGAATCTCTGAACGTCCTAAAAGTAACAGGTATACTAATACCTTCTCTGGTCAGCAATTATTATGAAATTGAATCTCCCGACATTGATCCATTACTTTGTGAATTAAAAGTTTCATGTCAAATCCTTGGGAAGAATTGTCCTTCGAAATATACCAACCTAGGATGATTTCAGCACTTCCAAACAGCATTACAGTCCTCAAAATTTTTAAGTATCTTGTTTCAACAAAAACAAGGAAACAACTGAAGTAGTATGATACTGTCTGGCTGTTAAATTTATGAAGTAGAATGATTAGTTGTTACTATGTATTGTCTCTCCCCCTCTCTCTTTCTCACAGGTAAATCTACTGTTGTCTCTTTACTGGAACGTTTCTATGATCCAGTATCTGGCGAAATTTTATTAAATAATTGTAAACTAACTAATTTCAATGTGAATTATTTACGTAGTAAATTAATTGGATATATTAGTCAAGAACCTCAAATATTCAATGCATCAATAAGAGAGAATATACGATTTGGTCGTTTTGATGCTACTGATGAAGAGGTATAAAATTGATAATCATGATGATCATCATCGTCATCATTATGATTTGAATTTTTGTGTGTTTTTCTTTTGACTGAAGATCATGATTGTCTACATAATGGCCCCCAAATGCCCTAGTACGGTCGAGGGTGGGGGAGAGTCAGCTCTCCCTATGCAAATATTCTCACATGACCACGCATATACGGCCTCTTCCAGGGAAGTCCTACACATTGCCTTCTCGCTTGTTTTAAGGGTCACTCAGTGTTGCCATCGACTGACCTCATTTATGCACATATTATAATTTCCTAATTATTTTGCTGTATAATCAGACATTTCAGATATTTTATTATCATTATTTGAGTTTTAAGTTATCATCAAATTGGGTAAAATAGACAACTGATATACTTTCTATTTTGGTCATTTGATTGACCACTGCCGGATTCCCCAAATGCTCTCACATGGTCACGCGTATATAGCCTCTGCCAGGGAAGTCCTACTCATTGCCTTTTCGTGGCGGGGGTGTTTACGAAATTGAGAGGACGAAATGCGAATGTACGGCGCTTTAATCGGGTTGGTGAACACGGAGAGTTGACTTAGGGGAGTTAGAAAACCCTCATTCCAATCGAATGGCGCACTTGGGATCCAGGATCCCGAAGGAACAAATGGTGTATGAACCAATTATTGGTCACCGGCTACCGTGGTATTGCATCTCTTGATGTTGTTCCATTGCCTTGTGGATTAGACCTTTAGGTCAAAGGCTCTAAGTGTGGCCCCCTAAGAAAACCATCTGCTTCGGCTTGGGCATCCGGGCAGTATCATAGCCCACACACAAATCAAGTGACATGTGTGGCGCATATGTATTTGGTGCCTCCTTGTACCAATATGTATGTGTTGAAATAAATAAATAAATACCACTGCTGGATCAGAAGGGGCTTGAGAACCAATAAACGTTGAGATCGTAATCATTATTCACTGATCAGTATGTCAATTGATACTCAGAAGATCACCAGCCATATTGGTAATATTGTAGTGAAGGAGAACACGGGTGAGGACAACCAAATTGTATTTAGGATAAATTACAGAATTACTTGGTAAAATAGAAAAACCATATAGTAAATCGTTAATTTGCAAAATATCATTCTATCATATCAAACCGGACTGTTGCTTTTGCAAACATCAATCCATTGTCTCGCATTTCATTGTTCATGCGATTTCTTACAAATTCCATTGTTTTCTCGCTCTTCTTTTCTTGATCTTCTCCATCTTCTGCTGCCAGACATTACGTTCTTTTGACTCACGTTATATACTACTTATATCAATATAAGTAGCACGCACCACAATATATGTAGATTAGTCTATAATCGGACCATAGAGAGAAAGAGATTATACAACTGCTTTCCTATCATTATTTCCCGACCATATGAGACCCAGTACAACCCAGCGGAATAATCTATATTCTCTTCTTGTAAATCTTAAAGTTGACACTTCAATAATGTTCGTTTATACACGAATAAACAATTTTCTTAATCTTACTACAATCATTTCACTTCATTGTATTTATAACTGATAATTAATGTTGTTTTGAAAAATTTACTTTTATATTGTAAGGTTGAAGAGGCAGCTAAATTAGCTTATGCTCATGAATTCATTTCAAATGATTTACCATATGGTTATGATACACCAGTTGGTCAAGGTACTGGTACAACAGCTGGTTTAAGTGGTGGTCAACGTCAACGAATTGCAATAGCACGTATCTTATTGAAAAATGCACCAATTCTATTAATGGATGAGGCTACATCAGCTTTAGATACTGAATCTGAAGCCAAAGTACAAAATGCATTAAATAATGCAATGAAAGGTTAGTCAATTAATCAATTGAGTTAATTTAATAATTAATTAATTAATCAAGTCTATTGGGCTAGTTATTTTTTCAGCAGTACAAATCTTATTCTAAATAACATTCTGATGGAATGTAGCGATTATTATGGAAACATCATTTTTTGTAATTATCATACAAAATGAATGTTGGCTAGCAGTGAAATCAAGGACGGAGGTTTCATCTTATTTGGGATCCTTTAGTTGGATGTACCTGTATCTTAAATAGGAGGACACGCGCGTCCTGATTTCCACTGCTAGGTATTATCCACCTCGGTTTATCATCCTCGTGATTTAATGGCATAATCCAGACAATCTTCATAAGATGCTCAAAAGAGGTTGATCAGTTTCAGGCCTAAACAACATTGGGTAGATATAATGTTTCGAATTATTTGAATTATAGTCCCAGAGATAACGTAATTGAATTAAGAAGTAAGACACAAGCACAAGCGAATGTACTGTATTTGGAATTCGAAATCGTGCAATCAACAAGTACAAAAGTATCATTAGTTCGTTCAAACACCACCGTAGACTTAACACAACCAATGCAAATGTAACATACAAAAGTTTATTGTTTGTATTTTTGTTGCATAATTAGTAGATGCTTGTACTGTTGTATTTTGATATTCTTCTATTTGCAGACTTTTGTTTAGTCTATGATTAATCCCCTATTACTCTTATTTTATATGACTTATGACTGAGTTATGTACACATTTTAGGTTTCTAATTGAGCTACTATGTGATCAGACATTTCAAGTATATTACTGTATGAGTTTTAAGTTATGACTAAATTAAGTAGTGGAGAACTAATGTTTTCAATCTTCATCTTCGGATTGGATTACTGGGTTGGAAGGAGCTCGAGGACCAATAGGCAGGCGTTAAAGTCTTATTTATTGGTCAATGTGTTAACCGGTTAATAGATGGTTACCGGTCCTACCGGAAATATAGGTCGACTAATCGAACTAGAGATTGAGAGTACAACTACACAACTACATTCCTGTTATCAAGAGCCGACTGTACAGGACACAATATAGAGCTGCCAAATATCCTAAACTTAGAGAGGCAAGATTTCGCAAACCTGGATAAGAATCGCTCTCACCAACGCGTTGTAGAACCATTTCTTAACAGTCAAGCTAACATCACAACAACGTCAAACGTGACCCAGATTGGTATAAGCCGCTTTGGCTTTCACTATGCGTAGATTGATCTCGTCAGTCACACCATCAGTGCTCACACAACGACTTAGATACACAAAGGTTATTTCTTTATTTTTATTCGCTTTTTTCACAGGTCGTACAGTTCTAATTATTGCTCATCGATTAAGTACAGTACGTAAAGCTGATCTAATTTTAGTTATGTCTAGAGGGCAAATAGTGGAGGTAAGTTTGAATTGTTACTTATCATAAACATGGTTACATAAATTTTACTTTGTTGTTTTTGCCTATGATTAATACTGTTTTTTGTTAAGAAAATAAGAGTGAAACAAATAATATTTCTATAAAAACGGATAGTGATTCGAGTGGTTTTCTGGTTGGTTTTTGGTTCGAAAGCTGAATATTATGATCAATCATTAGAAATCAGAATCTTTCTAGTTGTAGTTATATTCGGGGTTGAATACAAAATCAATCACTTTTGTAATTTAGGCTCCATGAACAGATGAGTCGATATTCACCAATTACTTACTCCTGTTACTCTTCATAGAGGAGCATAGGCTGCCCACCAGTACTCTCCATCCAACCCTGTCCTGGACAATCCCTTCTAGTTCTTTTCAGTTGTTATTCATCCTTTTCATATCTGCGTCTATTTCCCAACGTAATGTGTTCTTTGGCCTTCCTCTTTTCCGCTTCTCTTCAGGATTCCAAACTAGGGCTTGCCTCGTGATGCAGTTTGATATTCACCATTATGTTCTAAGCAGTAGTAGTGTCTAACCAAGAAATCTAGAATACTATACATCTAATTAGTTAGTATTCGTGCATTGAGACTCGAACCCAATACCGAAGGACTATCCATTAAAATATTAAACATTAATTGGATTATACTATTAGGCAGTAATCAACACAAACAATACAAATATGATAAAACTTTTAATTTCGATGGATTGTAATGTATCTTCTCAAGGGGCCTTCATGACAACGAGGCGAAGAAGTGGATAACACGATGGCGTTTGAAGCGAACAGTACTGAGTTCGAGTCTCGGAGTGAATATCAACTCCGGGATGCAATTCGTTCGGCTGACGAGTCCCAAACAGGACGAAACACGCGTCCTGGATTCCACTGCTAGCCACTATCCATCTTTGCTTATAGTAAAGTAAATAGTTTGAAAAATATTATGCTTCATCGACAAACTTAACGGTTACGTATATAGATGAATTTCACGTAGTTATGTAACCACTGAACTATTTTAAATTTTACCCTAGATTCATTTTGTAACAATTTTGAATTAGAAATTAACTCTTTTAATTAACTTGATTAACAGTTTATTATTGTCGGTATTTGGATAGACCAGATATTGTCGTACAACTATCTGTAAACTGTAACCAGTGTAGAGCCTTGCAAAAATGTACTTTAGACAAACGAAATGATATTAACATGATATATAGCTAAGGGGTCAAAATTACTTTAGAATTAGTAGTACTAGTGATAGCAAAGAAAACTAAACATCGAGATTGTATTTAGAGAAAATGGAATGAAGAGGTACGGAGGTGCAGAAACTCAATATGCAGAAGAATATCGAGAATGAATGTGATATGCACTACTGTGGTCGGTTCTGAGCCATGCCACCCAGTATATTCAACCGCTGATGCAATTATCATGTAGACTTCAACCGAATAGTCCGAACCTAGCTTAGATCATTAGTCAATGATTTGATGAACTGATGGTAAGTGTTTTTTTAAAACGAATCCTACAACCATCATTACAAGTTTCAAAGTATCCATAGATCAGACACCATACAATGATTGACTTCCGTGATTAAATGCCGGAAGACCAAACATAATTATATTGCAGTTTGTCTTCTGAAATGATGTGATTAATGTGTGGCAAAGTACGAAAACCGACTCACAAATATTGATTTATTAACATAGTATAAAAGTAGATTCTTTCATCTAGTTCCTCTTGTATTTATGTAAGATGTGACAAATTAGACCCCGCAACAATTTAGTGTTAAGTTTTATATTGATAATAGCTGATCAATTGATTGATAGTGTATAGTAAAATATATCACTCCTGTTGTTGTTAGTTGTATACCGTGTATTGATGGTTAAACAGAGTGTAGATATAGATATTACTAACGTTTTCTATTTCATATTTGTTGTAACAGAGCAAAGCATATTCATATTGTGTTGTGGTTATTGTCCTTTTTTCCATAGAAGGGAACTCATTCAGAATTAATGGCAAATCATGGTTACTATTATAATCTTGTACAGAGACAAGAAGGTTGTGATGTATTCGAGTAGATAATTTAGTAATTTTTTCTCATTTTGTTTTTATTTCCCTTCCGCCTTTCTTTTGTATGCTCCCTTGGATTTTTCTCCAAAATATATTATTTCTTTGAACAACTCGGAGATCGCAGGTATTGTATCTCACTCACTCACTCACTCACTCACTCACTCACTCACTCACTCACTCACTCACTCACTCACTCACTCACTCACTCACTCACTCACTCACTCACTCACTCACTCACTCACTCACTCACTCACACTTTCTCTCTTGTTCTACAATCCATCTCTTGTGAATAATGTTCGTTTAGTAGTTAACTACTATTTGTATGTGTGTATGGTTCTCGATTATATTTCGTGATATGACAACGTGGGTTCGATTTATATACATTTATACCTAGTCTTTCGTCGTTTATAATTGATTAACTGATTTTTTTAATTGTATCAAACTTCTCGCTAGGAAATGATCGATGTGTTTAGAGATCAAAATCATTCACCTGAGCTACAAATCTTCTCTACCATCTCAGTATTTAAAGATTATTCTATCTGCATCAATGCAGAGATGCCTAGACAGATAGTGCCGTTATGTAGCGCATACAAATTTGTTAACAATTTGGTGTTTGTGGACATATGCAATGTGTTATTGTGTTGTGAAGGTGATTTTCACCATTGATATTAACTGAAAAAGCAAAGAATATCGGATAGTTGTTTCGTCTTAATCTAATACCCTTTCCATCAATGCAATTTGAATCCTAGGGACCTTAATGTCAGCGGAAATGAACACAATACTATTAGGTATGAGACTCAAACAGTTTTTCAATATTTTTTAAGTTCGATCAATTTGCAGTGCATAGAACAATCATTCATCAATGTTGTTTATCGACAATATTGGCTATGAAATAATCAACTAGAAAAGGTCAGTCAGTCAGCTACAACGTAGGACCAGGCACATATGTGCATCGGTCTAGGTTGCCATACCGCATTAGCACAGCAAGATGAACACCGGACTCATAGGAGTGGTTAGGTCAAAGGTGGTAATATATAAGAGAAAGATTGCATATAAGGATACAGTACAGGAAGAAACAATTAGTTAGTAGGAAGAAAGATATGAAGTGATTTTAATCTCTTAGTTTAAGGGAAGTCAGGGAGTGTATACACCGACACCATTGTGATCGATTCTGAGCCATGTCACCAAGAGTCTCCAACCATTAATTACGAAAGTCAAGCGGACCCCAACCAAGTAGTCTGCATCTACCAACATGGTTCAGACCAGAGGTTAGTGTTTTCAAGCACTGATGCCACGTTTTTGTTTGACCGCCCCTAACTAGAAAAGGAGCCAATTTCGAACCCAACGCTACTTCATCAGTTTGTCTGTATTACTGATTAGCGAATATAAATTGCATATTGAAAATGTATCAAAAGAGTAATTCCTTCAGTTAGCGTTTCAGAACACATAGACCATGGTTACCGTTTTTAATATAACCACATAGAAAACATATTGTCGCCATTAGGTGAATTTCTATAAAGTGTAACTTAATGCCTGTTAATATCTTTACGGTTACATTTATGTTTATAACTGAATCAACAAAATCAAATGAATCGTGTATATTGTACCTATTGAGGTAATTTCTAATAAGTATTGAATATTTTATTCATAAACAGCGTAGGACTTGGTACACATTTATGTATAATTTCAAGTTATCACATCGTATTTCCCCAACGGGATGAAATTATCAAGACAAATACAAGAGTAGTAGAAGTTATAATAGTATCAGTGGTAGCGTGAAACGTTAGACATAGGCAGTATGATTCGAGAAAAAAGTATATATGTGTGGAAAGGAATGAAATAATTTCAAAATCCAAGATCTAAGAGAAGACAGAATGAATCCTTCTATTCTATTCTAAGTCAACTCACACAATGTCACCAACTATTCGTTACGATAATCAAAAAGACTCCAAACAGATAGTCTGTATATTAGCGATTCATCCATCAAGATTTATAATCTCATAAATATAAGTTGATTTATATTTTAAGTCATTACATTTGCAGAACAATTTGAATACGAGTAGCTCAATTTCATAGATTTGAATGTTGACCCATCGGATTTGAAAAATTGCAAAGTTTGTATCTTATTTATTTATTTGAACACATAAATATTGGTACAAGAGAGCGCCAATATATATGCGCCACACAAAACAATGAGAATGCGAAAAGAAATAGAAAAAAAAACTAAGGAGCGCAAAAGAGAAAGAGAACAATAACGAAGAGATTGGTGTAAGGTAGTGTGGTAGTAATGAGGGAACGGAATGGTACAATCGGAAATCTTTCAGGTAAGAGAGACACAACCACTTTTTATGAAGAAAGTAAAAGAAGGTTACAGCAGGATCGCCACTGGCTTCTATTCTGAGCCATATCTGATAACGTCTCTAGCCACTGTGTCGCACCATCTCTCGGACCCCAACCAGGGAGTCGTGAAGGACCAACAGAAACTAGTCCTTTGCAGCTTTCTTTCATGCCACGACACCATGTCATGCACTGACAACCTCTCCGCTTCTTCCAACCAGTCCCAGAGTCGGCAAATAATGCACGACGTGGAATTCTCTGGGACGACATTCGGAGAACATGTCCAAGCCACCGAAGTCGGTGTTTCAAGATGGTGACACCAATTGGATTATCGTCCCTGCGCCCGAACACACAATGCCCAACCTCCGCATTACTAACATGGTGTTGTCACTGGATGTCAGCAATCCTTCGGAGACAACGATGATCGAACACAGAGGGTCGTCTAACGTCCTCAACTCGGAGAGGCCAGGTTTCACAAGCATAGAGCAAAACTGCTCTCACCGACGCGTTGTAGATCCGACGTTTTACAGCCAGACTAACATCACGAAGGCGCCGAAGGTGGCCCAGATGGGCATAAGCCGCTCTGGCTTTCACTATTCGTGCATTGATCTCATCACCCACACCCCCACCAGCACTTATGCAGCTACCCAGATACACGAACTTCTCAACTACTTCTATCTGCTCACCATCCAGGGTGAGTACAGGATTGGAATCCTGCCAGTCTTGTAGAAGTACTTTGCACTTCGAAGGTGCAAAGCACATACCATACTTACGGACACTGATTGCCAACTGATTAAGTGCGGATTGCATGCCTTGGGCATTATCGCACAGTAAGACAATATCATCTGCATACTCAAGGTCGAGAAGTCTTTCTCCAGGCAGCAGATCCACACCACTATTACTTACACCCATCAGAGCTGTTTCCAGAATGTCATCGATGGCAAAGTTGAAGAGGAATGGTGTGATTGGGCAACCCTGTCTAATCCCACTGCTCGAATGGAACAATGGAGAGAGGTGGTTGTATGCCCTCACTCTGCCTGAGGTGTTTGTATATAGGGCTCTTAGTATGTTTGTATCACGTACATTTTAATTAAATAAGAGAAAATAAGTGAAGACGAAGTCACATTCGAATTTGGGGGAAAATTAATCTCCATCCTTGTAATAATTAATTATTAAATTGATTAGTTTTACACATTTCAATGCGATCCTGGGTTCGAATCCCATGAGTGGGGTCGTGGATGCACACTGCTGAGAAGTCTCATACTAGGACGAAATGGCCGTCTAGTGCTTCTAGGTTTTCCATGGCGGTTTAACTTTAATTGACTCATGAATTCGACCTTTTAAAAGTATCTAAATTTTTGTAGAAAATTAGATGTACTTTAAGAATAAAAATCTTCAGTAGCTTAGAGGTATTATTCACATTATCAAAATACAACCGAATCATACAAATAACCTTTGAATAAACACAAGAACTAATTTACAGAATTTACTATCAAAAAGTTGAACGGCATGGTCTTAATGGTTAGAGTAGTTAATTTACAGCCACTAGGTAAAGGGTTCCAACCTAACTTCACCGACTTTGGTTTATACAGGTAATTGGTATGATTAGTCCTTAGGAAGTAGTTTTGACTCGAAAGCAAGTACTTCACCCTACAGTTTATGAATTCATTGTTGGGCTCCAGTGATTAGTAGAAATGATTTGCTTGTATTATCCCATGACTGGATGAATAAAATACGACTCACAAGTTCAATTTGTAGGACAATTATACAAGAAAAAGAAATATACATACATTAATGAAAAGTTAAGATAAAACTAATTTAAACGAAATTATAGTTTCACAGGTTGAAATCATGAGTCAAATGAAGTTAGACCACCATGAAAACCTAGAAGCACTGAACGGCCGTTTCCTCCTGGTATGGGACTCCTCAGCAGTGCGCATCCACGATCCTGGATTTCTTGTGAGAAGCCGTTCCCAGTGGAGTTCAACCAGGTCTGTTGTGAAATATCAACTCACTGAAGAGAATGGTGTACGTTGGCGCAACTTCATGGATTGTTTGAAGTTAGACATTAACACTGTTGGATGCCGGCTCAGTGGTCTAGTGATTAAGTGCTTGCGCGCGAGACCAGTAGGTCGTGGTTCCGAATCTCGCGGGGTGCGGGATCGTGGATGTGCACTTCTGAGGAGTCCCATACTAGAACGAAACGGCCGTCCAGTGCTTCCAGGTTTTCAATGGTGGTATAGCTTTAGTTGACTCATGATTTCAACCTGTGAAATTTCTAAAGATCTCCACAAAACCCATTCTGAAATTGTAGGTGATAGACATTCATGGCAACAATTCGATAACATGTAGTGTCCATGATGCTAAAAAGAATTAGTAATATAATTTGTGCTACTTGTTATTTGTAAGTAGTTCTATAAGTTAAAATGTAGAAAATCGAAACAACCCTGCAGATCCCACAAGGGTGTTCTGTCGTTTTTGTTTCAGAGAAAAGAAATAAGCAAAACATTTACAACCTAAACTAAATACTCTCTGGTTCCTCCAAGTTACTTTTTCGCTGATTTTTACAATCTGAATATTACTATAAAAGCTAATGATATTCAACATATATCCTGATGACTATCATAAGCATTGGATTAGCCTCTTTATGATAATTTACTTCCACATCTCAAAGTAATGAGACAACTCTGAGTTAATCGTTTCCATGACCAGAGTATTGCCTCTAACCTTATGTACTTTATAATACTTCAACTTCCTTCATGGGCTGCGTTTTGTTGAATGAATCTGGTATGCACCAATCAAGGATCATGAGATAGTTTATTTGAATTTTTTTGGAGTTGATCCGTTAAACTTTTTTCCTTAGTTCTGTACATTTTTCTTGACATCTTATGTATAATTCTCCAACAGACTCTTTCTCTGACAAACAGATTCTTACTGTTGATGACTCGATAATATTCCGGATACTTCTTTTCAATTAGTTTTTCATCATGGCTCTACACTAATATATATATGTTTTACAATAATAATATAATACTCATCGAGTGGATACGTTACGTAATAATTACATAATGACCTTTAAATTAACATTCAGTAATTGGAAGAGAGAGGATTATTAATATTCAAAGTAATCACGAAGTTGCTATGTTGCGTAATATAAGAAACAAAGAAGGAATGGAATTTTACCGGATGGTCAATAGGATAGTAGTTACGTAAGAATCAAGAGATGAATGTTGAGAAGTTATAAGGCTCAAAAGCGATAGAAACAAAATTACAAAAAATTTTAATATTAAAATAAAATGGAAGAAGTATGAAAAATAGTTCTTCTGACGGAAATGTATAACAGTATAACAGTATAACATTTCCGTCAGAAGAACTATTTTTCATACTTCTTCCATTTTATTTTAATATTAAAATTTTTTGTAATTTTGTTTCTATCGCTTTTGAGCCTTATAACTTCTCAACATTCATCTCTTGATTCTTACGTAACTACTATCCTATTGACCATCCGGTAAAATTCCATTCCTTCTTTGTTTCTTATATTACGCAACATAGCAACTTCGTGATTACTTTGAATATTAATAATCCTCTCTCTTCCAATTACTGAATGTTAATTTAAATGTCATTATGTAATTATTACGTAACGTATCCACTCGATGAGTATTATATTATTATTGTAAAACATATATATATTAGTGTAGAGCCATGATGAAAAACTAATTGAAAAGAAATTTCTTCGCTCAATTCGTTCCTTCTTAATTTACCAAATGGCAAAATGGGAATTTTCACTATATATTCCGGATACATCTGGTATTTCCATGATAGAGAATTCTGATCACGTAGTTTATTGATACTTGTTAGAACGTAATATTTCTGTGGATATTGAATAAATTAGTAAACGATTCTTTCTAATAGTCAGTTTGATGTAAGTAGATTATGAGTACGAGTTAATCAGATTTGAGAAAATTAATTCAAAATTGAATGACTTTTATTATATAAAAATATGCGATACATAACACTTAAGTCAATCAGTTCGTCTTTCAATTTACTCGGCTGGTGAAATAGGAATGTTAAAATATAGATATCGATTTCTACGTATCACTTCTTAATGTCGATAAGACAACAAAAGTCAGTCAGTCAGGTACAATCTAGGACCAGGCATGTATGAGCATCCATCCAAGTTGCCATACCTCATTAGCACAACAAAATGAACACCAAATTCATAGAAGTAGTTACTTCAATGGTAGTAACATATGGAAGAAAGATTGTATAAAAAGATATAGTACAGGAAGAAAGAATTAGTTAGTAGAAAGAAAGATATGAAGCGATTTTAATCTTTTACTTTAAAAGAAGACAGAGAGTGTATATACCTACACCATTGTGATCGATTCTGAGCCATGTCACCCAGAGTCTGCAACCATTGGTTACGATAGTCATGCGGACCCCAATCAAGTAATCTGCATCTACTAACATGGCTAGGACTAGAAGTTAGTGACTTCAAGCACTGATGTCACGTTTTGGTTTGGCCATATTTTTATATAATAAAAGTCATTCAATTTTGAATTAATTTTCTCAAATCTGATTAACTCGTACTCATAATCTACTTACATCAAACTGACTATTAGAAAGAATCGTTTACTAATTTATTCAATATCCACAGAAATATTACGTTCTAACAAGTATCAATAAACTACGTGACCAGAATTCTCTATCATGGAAATACCAGATGTATCCGGAATATTATCGATGGCCATCTTCCAATCATCTCCAATACTAGTCCGCATTGCGCGTCGTAGTAAACAGTGTTCAAGCATACGTAACACATGGCCCAACCATAGACAACAAGGATGGTTTCCTGGTAATTTAATCTCTACTACATTTATTAATAAATATTATGTAGGCAATAATGAATTCCTTAGGAAACTATATATAGCTGTGAGAAGGATTGAGACAGAAATCTTAACTGTGAATAAATTTGCGAGGTTGTATAACGATATTTCGACGGTATTAAAATTATTAAAATGATGGTAAGCA